GCTCCGCTCGCCTGCCCGCCCAGCCGCTACCTGCCTCCCGACATGGGCCGACAGAAGGAGCTGGTGGCCCGCTGCGGGGAGATGCTCCACATCCGCTACCGGCTGCTTCGCCAGGCGCTGGCCGAGTGCCTGGGAACCCTCATCCTCGTGGTGAGTGGGGGGAGCCGGAACCCCTTCTGTCTCCAGCCCCTACATTCCCTAATCCTGTTCGCCGGAGGGCTGTGCTTTACAAGGCAGCCCCGACCCCTCTCCCAGCTCTGATCCCCACCTTGACCCCTTCCACAGTGCTCTTCCCCCATAGCTTTTACCCGATCTGTAAGAGCTGTCGCTCCCCAGGAACAGCTTTGATCCTCTAACCTCCCACCGTGACCCAGCCCACAGGCCGGGGGCAGCCAGAGGGCTCCCCCAGCAGTTTGGGGACCTCTAGCCCCTTCTCAAGGCTCTCATGGCTCCCCAAGTTCTCAGAGTCCAGCGCAGGAGACAGTGGGGGCAGAGGCAAATGGGCCCCTATTAGGTTATTTGGCTTCTGACGTCTGGCCCCTAATGAATAATTAAGCCTCAGAAAGTCCAAAAGTTCCCATGACATGAGGACAGTTTGCCACGGGTGGGGGCAGAGGGCGGAGGCCCACAGGGTGCAAACAGCAGATCTAGAGGAAAGGAGGATCCTGGAGATAGGAGGCTGTGAAAGGCTGTGGGCTCCCGGCACTGAGAAAGTGGTATCACTAAAGTTGCTCCCCTCCTGCTGAGTGAATCCCAGGCCCTGTCAGTTACCGAGACAGATGCTGTCGGCTTCTGCGCAGAAGCACTCTGAGTTACTCTGTGGGTTCTCTGAGTGGGACCCTTCCCCTGCCTGAGTTACTCCCCAGCCCCAGCTACTCCTTGGTTAGGCCAGTTTTGTCCCTGGGTTGTTCCTGGGTGACTCTGTTTGCACTTTTTGGGTCTGGCAGACACAGCAGTTAACAGTCTCCATTTCCTGTCTTAGTTACTCTGATTTTCAGCCACTCATGTGGTTACACCTGTTTTCCCCCTTAGTTACTTCTGGGTTTAGTTGCTCCATTGTAGTGAGTGGTTTACTTCCGTTCCCGCCCCAGCCCCAGCCCCAGCCCCAGCCCTAGGTAACACAGACCTGCCAGCCCCCTGTAGACTTGGAGGCTTAACTAGAGGCAAGTAGGGCTGGGGTGGCCCACCCCAAATGGGTGATGGTGATGAAACAGACACCATGGGAAGAGGAGAGCTGAGACTCACCTCTGGAAACAGGAAGGGGGGAAAGGAAACCAGGGGGGCATTTTATCCATAGCCCCTCACAAGACTAGTGGCCCTACTGGTCATCCCCAGACCTTCTCTCTCCTGTGCCAAGAAGGGAGTGGGGCAGGTGCATATCATCCTCCTGCCCCAGAGCCTTGTGTCCCCCACTCCCTATCTGATTTATTTATTTATTTGTCTGTTTATTTATTTTTAAATTTTTATTGATTGATTTGAGAGAGAGAGAGAGAAACATCGATTCATGTTCCACTTATTTATGCATTCACTGGTTGATTCTTGCATGTGCCCTGACCAGGGATCAAACCCGAAACCTTGGCGTATCAGGACGACACTCTAACCAACTGAATTACCCAGTCAGGGCCTTATCTGATTTATGATCCAGCCCTCTCCCCCCCCTTTCCCCATTTGAGAGCAGCTGGGATGGGGAAGTTGTCTTCCACATTCACTGAGGGGCTTCCCGGTCCCCTCCCAAGTCTCAGTTCACCTCCCCCACAGAGGAGGAGTTGGTCTAGCTCTGAGCCCTAGGAAGGAGGGTTTCAAGCTCAGGTGAGTGTGAAGCCTTGGGTGTCAGTGAAAAGTAGAATCTCTCGGGCAGCCTGAGAAAGAGCCAGGCTTGGGAGACCCCTGAGTGGTAGATGAGAGCTTGCCTGCATGCCTCTGTGGGTTGGGGACCTAGAACCTGTAGTAGTAGAATTGCGGATGGCTTTAGGTCAAGGGAAGCCCCTTTCTCTGGGGTAGCTCATAAGGAAGGGGCACGAGGGAGAAGGAGGGGTAAGGAAGAGGAAGATTAGCCCCAAGGTGGTAGAACTGGCTCTGACAGCTTCTCACTCCAAGACCTCCTGGGATGGAGCCAGGTTTGGGCCTCAGACTAGCAAGGAACTGAGACCAGGGCTGGCCAAGCCCAGCAGGGTTCCCCAGACCCACACGTGCCTGTCCCTCCGCCTACCCCCACACACTCACAATCTGATCTTTGCTCTCACCTGCCTGCACACCTTTGCCCTGCATCATTGCCGCTGGCTTCCCCACTATCTCTTGGTCTTTCTGAGGGAAAGTGCCTAACAACCCAGTACAACAGGATACTGACCCATCAGAATTGACAAGGACCTTTAGCATAGGTCTTGGAAATTGCTTTCTAGGTAGATGTAAAACCTTTAGTTATGGGAAGGTGAAAGAGGAGATCTGGTCAGAGGCTGGAACAGCTTTGGGGGATACTCTGGGGGCTCTTTACAGCTGGTACAGAAGCATTTTTACATCTGGACAAGGGAAATAGACATACAGGACATTCTGCCCTTGTAGGACATGAAGACTTTAGTCCTCTTGAATCCCTCTATCCCTGGCAGAAAGCTTAGAACTAACCTCCCCATTGCCACTGCCGTGGGGCCCAGAATGGAGCTAGTGAGAGGAGCCACTTGTCATTGTCTTTAGGACCCCCAAATCTGAGTGGAGACCTTGGTCCACTGGGGGCAGAGAGGTCAGGGCTGGTAGAGAGAGGAGGCTCTGGGACTGGGACAGGTCAAGGAGGGCGAGGGTGCTGAGAGGGGCTCTGAGGAGAGCCAGGGGCATGGGGAGGGGCTCTGACATCCCAGATTCAGGAGAAGTGGTTTCAACCTAACTTCTGGCCTCCTCCCTATTGCTTTGTGCTTCCCCCCCACAACTCCTCTTTGGTGCTAAAAGAGAGGCAATTGCAGGTGGGAGATGAGCAAGAGCCTCCCTACCCCTGTGGGCCAGGCCCGAAGGGCTGGGGAGAAACTGCTAAGGCAAAAGCTGTTCCCTTCCACCCCACTCCTGTTGAGAGTCAAGAAAAATCAATGAAGATGGTTCAGTCATCTTTAGGGCTCCCAGTTGCAGACTGTGCTTCCATGGGGACCTGTTATGTTAGAGTGGGGCACTGGGAGAGGAAGGGCATGTCTGCTGCTTTTCAGAGTGCAATTGCAGCAGGAGGTGTTTTTGGTTGAATTCTAGGACCCGCCTTCAGTCTTCCTGATGGGGGCAGGCAGAGGTTGCTGGATTCACTCTTGCTTCTGAAGTGAGAGTTTCTGGGCCTCACTCTCACTACTTTGTTCTGTTTCCTGACACAGATGTTTGGCTGTGGCTCTGTGGCCCAGGTCGTGCTCAGCCGGGGCACCCATGGTGGTTTCCTTACTATCAACCTGGCCTTTGGCTTTGCCGTCACTCTGGGCATCCTCATTGCTGGCCAGGTCTCCGGTAAGGCCTTACTCTACTCTCAGTCATCACTCCTCAACAGTATTCTCACAAGGGGTCCCACTGTCTCCAGTGGGGGGATGTTCCCATGGGGTAGGAGGACATTCCCAAGGCCATGGTATAGCTATGGCCTGAGCTCTGAGCCCTTTGAAGAGGAGAGTGGAGAAGGAACTTGATACTTAGAACCTTTGACTCTCACCTTGGAATCAGAGATTAGCAGAGTTGGCCTGCTACACAGTCCAACTTGCCATTTGGTACAAGAAACCCTTCTCTGCATCCCTGCTCCCCCGGGCCAGAGATGGGGAATATGAAAGTGGTGTGGAATCCTGGCCTCCCCACTATGGCAGGCTATGGTTAATATGTCCCATTTCCCATCTGTGCAGGGGCCCACCTGAACCCTGCTGTGACCTTTGCCATGTGCTTCCTGGCGAGAGAGCCCTGGATCAAGCTGCCCGTCTATGCCCTGGCTCAGACACTGGGAGCCTTCCTGGGTGCTGGAATCGTTTTTGGGTTGTACTATGGTAAGCATTACCTTCCTCCACTACCCCCTCCTTCTATTTGGGACCTGTTGGCATCAGGCCTTTTCATAACAGACAGCTGGGGCCTGCCCAGGCCCCTGGCTCATGACTCACTCATTCACACACCAGGCCCAGGGTGCAAGGCGCAGGGGAAATAAACGAGTTGGGCAACAATAGTGTCTCAGGCCCTCACCCCACTCACCCCACCCACCCCACCGCCTCCGGCTCCTGAGTAAACAGCAATGATTCTACTTACCCATGACCTCTGGGAGGGTGGGCCCAGCCAGAGAGGAGAAACTGGGCTCAGGCCTCTGCCCTCACCCACTTGAGGTTTAATCTGTCACCAGATGCAATCTGGGCCTTCGCCAACAATGAACTTATAGTCTCAGGCCCCAACGGCACAGCTGGCATCTTTGCCACCTATCCTTCGGGACACTTGGACATGGTCAATGGCTTCTTCGACCAGGTATGGACTGGGGACATGTGAAGGGAACACTGGGAGGGGAACCAGGCTGTCCTGGGTTGCTGATGGGCTAGCTGGGGAACAGGACTCCTTGTCTAAAGCAGCATTTCTCTATATGTGGGGACACCTACATCAGAATCAGAATGGCAGTTATTTATTTATGTTTAATCAGCTCCCCAGAGGATCCTTATCCCTGAAAAAACTCTAGCAGCACTGTCCTAGAGTGCAGAATCTGGGAGGTGACAAGACTAAAAGCTGGAGGGAAGCCAGAGATCCAAAGGAGGAACCAGAGGGTAGGGTTGGGGCTACTCCTCACCCTGTCCTCCCTACTCGACAGTTCATCGGCACAGCCTCCCTCATCGTGTGTGTGCTGGCCATTGTGGACCCCTACAACAACCCGGTCCCCCGTGGCCTGGAGGCCTTCACCGTGGGCCTGGTGGTTCTGGTCATTGGCACCTCCATGGGCTTCAACTCCGGCTACGCTGTCAACCCTGCCCGGGACTTCGGCCCCCGCCTCTTCACCGCCCTCGCTGGCTGGGGCTCAGAAGTGTTCACGTGAGTGCCATCCCCACCCAGCCAGCCTCACCTTGCCTTCCCTCTGCTTGTCCCACCTGCCCCTAAATACATGTCTTGTCCCCCAGGACCGGCCGCCAATGGTGGTGGGTGCCCATCGTCTCCCCGCTCCTGGGCTCCGTTGCGGGAGTCATCGTGTACCAGGTCATGATTGGCTGCCACTTGGAGCAGCCTCCACCCTCCACTGAGCAGGAGAACGTGAAGCTGGCCCACGTGAAGCACAAGGAGCAGCTCTGAGCGGGCAGGGGCCATCCCCCCTGCCCCTCTCCCTGGAGCATCCACTGACTGTGCAGGGCCTGCTCCCTAGAAGCCCCCTTCTTAGCCCCCCTCCCAGGCTAAGAAGCTCCTTGTCTGCCCCTACCTAACTGGACAGCCCCTCCAGGATTTTCCACCAGACCCTGCCCAAATAAGACTTTAGGCCACTGTCCTTAAACTGTGATGGGACAGGGAACAGGGCCAACATAACCCTCTGTCTCCCAAATGGAGGGAATGGGCAGCGGGTATGTGAGAGTGTGTGTGTGTGTTTGTGTTTTCCCAGATATTCAGGGCAAGGGGTCCAGTGGAAAGGATTTTAGCTGTGGGGGGAGTCTAAGGGAAGGGGGATGGGGATGTGTCCATCTGTGAGTGAGGAAAGTGCCAGGGGCCTGCATGTTTTAGGGGCTCCAGGTGGAGAAGAGTCCAGACATATGTGTTTCTGAGTACGTGTGTGTCTGCCCTGTCTTCCAAGCAGGGGTTTTGGGGTAGGTACGATGGGAATGTGAGTAGGGCTGGGGGGGGGGGGCCCACAGCCC